GCTACCGACTTTGATTTTCCTTACGAAACGCTATTTAACCTTCCAATAAAGTGCTAAAACTTGCCGCAATAGCAGTTCTCTAATCTCTGTTGGAAATTTCTCTTTAGTTATGCTGCTGCGAAGTTTATCTGAACTACAATCGCATCACAGTGGCCGCCAATCGCATAAATGCCGCTCTTGAAAGTGAGTCTGAATTTTTGTGGGGAACTTGGTGAACTTAACCAATTAATACAAAAATGTTCTTTCATTTTCACTGGAGCATAGCGCAAACATTTTTCGCAAAGCGGGTGGAATTCGAAAAATCCTGTACACGTTCCAGTTCAAGCAGGAGAAGATTCGGGGACTTGCACTGAGGGACGGGAGTCGCATTTGGCCTAAGATTTTTGATGATTGATTTTTTCTCCTCCGTGGTTTAGCTTTTCCAAGGTTCTATACAACTGTTACTTTTGATAGTTGAAAGTAGTAGTTGTTTGGTGACGACTTTGATCACCCCTACCCCCTCGGCGGCAGGTTTCTGAAGCTTAGGAAGTTTTTAGGCAAAGTGGGAGAAGTGCTAGGAAGAAGGAAAGGTTAGCGAGATTAAAGCTACGATGGGAAAAGAGAGGGACGATTACAGAGGGGAGGTTTGGGGGTCTTATTATCCCAAAACGATCTCCAGCTTCAGGAAAAGCCCTGGTCCATTTCCTCCGTGAACTATTTAGCATGAGCCTTTGTGACCGTTGCTTTTCTTCCAAGGTCTCTTAGGTCCGATTTTCTTTCAGGCGGACTTACCGCTGCGGCTTTCGATGATGTCGTCAGTACACAAGAGGTGTTCAACAACATCGCAGCTGTTGTTCTGTTCTTATCTTGGATTAAGGTGCAGGCCAAATGGCATAATTTAATTGAAAGACACTTCAAAAGGTCAAGGGAGAACGGTTGGAATAAAAGAAGCTCGTAACTGGGGGAGTGACAATGATTGTCTCCGCCCGTTTCCCGCTCATCCACTTATCATGTAATGTGCATCTGATATGAACTAATCTAAACCTCGTTTTCATGTGTTCAACTACATCGGCATAAACAAGACGATGAATCAACTCGCAGCTACACTGTCCCGTTCCACAAAGGATATTGGTGGATTTGCTGTCATGTTCGCGGTGTTCTTCTTCGCCTACGCTCAATTTGGCTATTTAGTATTTGGCACTCAGGTACCGTTCTCCATCTAGCAATAAAAGAATTAGTTTGCATCAAATTGTGGGTACCATGGGTGCGCGCAGTAGCGTCGCGGCTACGCAGAACCATCAATAACATCTGAAGTTCTCAGCCTTTAGAAAAAGAGAGGAAAGTCAGTGAGACTTCGGAAATTCCTGGAAATCGCAAGGGGATAGAATCACATCATGGTCCCCAACGTTTTTGTTCGCTGCGGATGCTAGGGCATGACAGGGTGACAGGAGGCTCGGTTTGGCACAGTGTCAGCCCGTTTTCCACTAACTGTTGTCGCTTGCCTGTATCAGCAATTGGTGGGGAGCGGGCTGGCGCCGCGTCAAACCCAACTCTCCACACACGCTCCGGCATCCGCAGCGAACCAGACCGTACAAATTTCCAACTTTCATCACCCAAAAGTCGTGGCGCTATCACAGGTACGGTCAGGCCGTGTCTCCAGGGTTTTATGAGCGGGACTGTCAATAGTTGTCAATAAGTACAAATGGTTCCTGACCCCTCACTAAGTAAGATCCTAGAAAATATGCCGAATTGACCTACTTCAGATTGCTGACTATTCGACTTTTCTCGGCTCAGTATTCGCTCTGCTCCGAACTGTTCTTGGTGATTTCGACTTCCACGCTCTTGAACAAACGAATCGCGTCTTGGGACCACTATTCTTCGTTACTTACGTATTCTTCGTCTTCTTCGTGCTTCTGGTGAAGCAAGTCTAGTCTTACATAGAAACGTACCCATCGATTTGAAGACAAATCCCGCTCTCGCTGAATGGGCGGAGCTAGTAACTGTCTTGCCTTCCTCATTGGTGCTTTCTTGTTTCTGAGGCAGCGAAGACCAGTCGCAAAAAAGGGAGAAGGCGCAGTGGCAGGCCTGACACCGCCCACAACATAGAATTAGCCTTCAGCCCTTTCTAGAACATGTTCCTTGCTATCATTAACGACTCGTATGTCGAAGTGAAAGCCGAATTGGCACGGCAGAACGATGGCGACGGAATATTCGACTGGATCAGACAGGTCAGTAGGTGCCTTAAAAACTGTTCCGCCCCATGCAATCATGATAAAACTATTTACGACAGAAAGTGACTCGCGGGAAGAAGGATGACAAAAAAG